TTAGATTTGTTTTGTCCCATTATAACTTGTGCATCTTCACGTGTTATTATTTTTTTGCTTTTTAATTTCACTATAGACTAGTCATGCTCATTCACTTTACATGCCAAGTAGAATGTAAATGGGTCGTGTCGAGTGCAGACATAGACAAACACGAACTCGATCCGCATATAGTTTACTCTACCCAAACTCGACCCGTTACTCAATTATTGATTTTTAGGTTCGGGTTGGGTTTTTACCCTTCCACAATTATTTATAATGTAACTAAGTTTGACAATAAAATAACTATAAAAAAATTCTATATTATTTTGGGAATAAATAATGAGATATAATTGTTTATTTTATAGTCTAGTTAATAAAATAACGCTTAAAAATTAAGTATTTAATTTTTTTTATTGTAGATATACGTATGAGATTCAGTGCTTGCGGGTAAACGAGTAGGTAATCGGGTTGGGTAACGGATTTTTCTACTATGTCGGACCCCGACCTGACCTGGGAATTCGGGTAGCATAACAATACCCGAAACGCGAACATCCCGAATTTACCCGATCCGAAAACGTAGGTAACTCGACCGTGGTGAATGCCAGGCTATACCCGGACCACTTGTTAGTATAATCATTTTGGCCATCATTAGGCATGGTATACATGTTTCACAATCATATTCCACATATGTTATGTTCCATAATATTATTCACGCACATAACGAACAAAAACTAACCGAAAAAAAGGATGAACTATATAACTCTCATAGTTAATCGTATCAAAATTTTTACCTGCATCACATATTGACTACACTTTACCACTCTTAAATCACGATGACAATACAGGGCCTGGGCCTAGACAACCCTGTATTGGCGGAGGATTTAGACTTGACGGGCCCGATCGACGATGAGTGGGCCGCTTTACTCTTGCCGGACGTGGACAGCCCACCTTCTCTGGTCAACGTAGCTAACACAAACTCAGTCACCTCCCAATGCACCAACAACCAGTCCGAGCCTCTGGCCCGTAATGAGTTTTTCGGCCCCGACAGCCGGCCTTCTTCGGATCCGATCATGCTCAACTTCGGAGGCACAGATCTGTCTCTCGAGGATCATCCGGTGGCTGATGTCCGGGTCGGGCAGGCACATGTATATAGGAATGAGGAGGCTGTAGTCGTTTCGGAAGCTGGAAAAAAGCCCGACGAGGCAGCCAAAAGGGCCCAGAATGCAAAGAGAAGTGCGGGCCGGGCTAATAAGGGGCCGCACGTGTACGATCATATAGTTGCCGAGAGGAAGAGGCGCGAGCAGCTGAGCCAGCGCTTTCTCACACTTTCCACTATTGTGCCCGGACTCAAGAAGGTACCAAATTCAATTCCTTCAAAGACGGCAAGAGCGGATATGCCTCCAAAAGCTTCTTCAATAGCTAATTAATTAACATTCATAATTTCACAATCAAATTCATTCTATTATGCATGAGGACCATAACTAGCTAGTACCTCCATTATTATCCACATGTCTTTAATATAAACAAATAGGGAAGATGATACGGTCTCGTTACGAAACCATTCCGTCGGGTTTGTAACTGTTAAATCATCATTTAACTGTCGGGGATAATTGATCTAACGGACGGAATGATTCCGTAACGGGACTATAGCATTTCCCACTACTATAATTGGGAAATCATTTTTTTTTTTATCTCCAAAAACAATTAAGATGAGCATTATATGTTTAATCGCTTCTAAATTTTTTTTCTTCAAAAGATGGATAAAACATCAGTGTTGGGAGATGCAATTACGTACATGAAGCATCTCCAAGAGCGAGTGAAGATTCTCGAGGAGAAAGCCACAAAGAAAATGATGGAGTCCGTGGTGTTCGTCAGGAAATCACGGGCCAATGCAGACGAAACAAATCTCTTTGCATCCCAAAACCCAGGCCCGGACGAACAAGCACTGCCGGAGATCGAAGCCCGGGCTTGCGGCACCCAAGTCCTTATCAGAATCCACTGCGAGAATCAGAAGGGGCTTTTGTCCCACTTAATGAGCCAAGTGGAAAACCTCAACCTCACAATAGTCAACACGAACATAACCACATTTGAATGCTTGGCTCTAGACATCACCATTGTTACAGAGGTAAGATATAATCTTTATATATATATAATTTTCATTAGATTTTGCATGTCTTGTTTGCTCGTTTAAATAAAGCTTTACTTTTCTTGATAGACGGGGAAAGAATTCAGCTTGACGACGAAGGAAGTTGTGAAAAGGATCCGTGCCGCGCTGGATAATCTCTTTTAATAACTAGTGTTTGTACAGTTTACAGCAGGGAAGAAAAAATGATTATGATCAAATTCTTGGTCGAAATGTATTCTAATCAAGTCGTGAGGCTTTCCGAGTATGGCCGTACTGAATAAGACTAAGTTCTTCCTTCTTCGTTCCACGTGAATATTTTAATATGTGACAATCTGCATAATGTTCGGTAAGAAAAATGCTACACATAGAGGTGTACACAACACTCCATGTGAGTGGGGTCCACTTAATTTTTTATTTTGGTAGATCCCACTAAATGTAAGTATTATGTACACCCCTATGTACAATATTATATACCAATAGCATTACTCGTTCGGTAATAGCTAATAGAAAAAGTTGATTTCCTTTAGTGAAAACTACAAGAACTCTGATACAGAGCACCGTAATAGCTTGGACTGGGTAGAGTGGATAGCTCGAGTGAACAGGTCCAGGGTAATCCCTAGCTCGGTACAGAGAGTTGACCCGGTCGGGAAGCTCCGTATAATGGCTCGAAATATATACATGTCATTTCGGGTATGGAAATAAGCACCCGAGCTCTTGATAGGACTCAGGAGGATCAAGGGTTGTCACAACTTGAAGGTCGTACGATAAAGATTGTTTAACTGACCTGGTAGAGGTATGTGGTGGCACCGTGGCAGGGTCACGAGGTTGGTATGGTGATCTGTGGACCTATCTGTAAAAGGTGGTTACAAGGTTTCTTTACAGATTAATGCATAATATATGTGAAGAAAATAAAGAAAATATACATAGAAAATACTATAAAATATAAATAGAAATGCACAAAATATTTATAATATATTAGTAACTAAAACTTATTTTATATGGTATTCTAATTAAAATTAAAAATATAATTTATTGATTGAAAAATGCATTTATAATCCTTATATTTTACTTTATTAGATACGTTTTTGAAAACATTTATAATGATTTACTCCTTCAGTCTCTTAATTGTAACTCGATTTAGTGATTTATAACACTAAGTTTTTAGTTGGATTATAAATTTTTTTAATGGCGATTTTTTTACCTTTTTTGTGTAATTTGATTAGCTCTTCATCAACAAAAATGTTATGCAATGTGCTGCAAAGGAAGTGTTGCTTCGTGATTGGAGTGTGTTTATCCGACATGTTTACCGGGAATCAAACTTCTCGGCTGATTTCTTGGCTTCTTTGGCCGCGACTAGTCCAGGTGGCTTACATCGCCTGGAGTTCCCACCCGCTGGCTTAAAACCGTGGCTTGAGCATGATGTTGTCGGCGTGGCTTACCATCGTCGGGTAGCTTGTTGAGCTTACCCCCCTCC